CAGAAGAGGCTGATGGTGCTTCCGCCCTTCCTACGGGTGCGATTCTGCTCTCGTTCTCAGTAAGTGGGGAGACGTTTCTTTCACGGGCTGGACCGTGCATGGAGACAACCAAAACTTCATCAGGTTCGGAGTCGTGGGAAGGGGGGAGCCCGGGGTCCCATGTTCCCCTGCCGCCCCTGTGCATGCACGGGCCAGGCAGGGAAGAAATCAAAGCTCCGGACGCGCTGCGTTGCCTCCAGGAAGAACGTCAGGATCGCCAGAAAGGTCGGAGCCATTCAGGATTAGGCTAAAAGTGGGGAACCTGTTTCCAGGAGATGCGTGAATGAAAACATCATGTTAAGCTGGTTTATTGATTCGGGTATTCTGTTTGCATTGAATGGTGGTTTGTTGATTGTGATTTCTCAGGTAGCCATAGCAGTTTGGGCCAAGAGTTTAATTAGGTTCTGCTGGCTAAAGTTACACTGGAAGTTCAAATATTGATTGATTTACCTATTAAATCGATTTAGAAAGCCATTCATCTCAATGTCTATTTGTGACCTGAGACATTTATCATCTGGATTGTTCAGAGGTTGCTTTTCACACTGCAAGCAGCCATCAAAATTATTTGAATAAATGAGTAGGAATAATAAATCAAAAATATATTTTAAATTTATGTATCCAAATTGTTTAGTCCTTGAAAGAAGTTGATCCAGAAGGTTACTATAGATTTTTTTCCACACAGAGATACGTCACTACCTACAAAGATTTCACCTCCCTTGCCAGATATTGGTGGGTTCATAAGAATTTCTTAATTCATTTTTTGTGTGTGCTCAGTTAAGTTGGTCAACCTGTATTTATGGAATTTTCTTTTGTTTTCCATTTCAGACATATAAGTCGGAAATCTTTCCTGATTGCTCTTGAGTCTTTAGTATCTTGTGTGGGAAGAGGGCTAAATGGACTTAGGAAATTTTGACAGACCTCTTCTGATTAGGAAGACCTGTGCAGATCCATCAGTCTGTTTTGGAGCTGGATTAGAGACCAGAGAGAAGATGGAGGGACAACGCCCAGCTGGAAAAAGCCCTGCAGCTGCTCAGTCTTGGAGCTTTGAGATAAATGGGGCAAGTCCTGGGCAGAAGAACCAAGAAGAGGAAGCCAAGAGTTCAGAGGTCCAATGCTGTCACTTCAGAAAAGTGCAGTTCCAGGAGGGGAGGGGTCCCCGAGATATTTGCAGTCAGCTTCACCACCTTTGCTGTCAGTGGCTGCAGCCAGAAATACACACGAAGGCCCAGATGCTGGACCTGGTGCTCCTGGAGCAGTTCCTGGCTTTCCTTCCCCCAAAGATGGAGAAATGGGTGCGGGAGTGTGGAGCGGAGACCAGTTCCCAGGCGGTGGCCCTGGCTGAAGGCTTCTTGCTGAACGTGGATGTGGAAAAGATGCAAGAAGAGTTCCAGGTTTGAGAATATAGTCTTAACAGGTCTAAAGAAAATCTCTCTGTATTTGTCAATTCCTTTCTGTCCGAGTTTTCTGGAATTATTAACTCCTAAAGTGAGTTTTCTATTCTTCCAGAGGATATATTTGGGGCAATTCTTCCATTCTGTTTCGGGTTTCAACAATGGAGATTGTAGTAGTTTGAAGCTCCAATATGATAATTCATTTCTATCTCTGTGCTCTTCCTTTGTTTCTCCTATCACATCATGTCCAGAAATCCTTGGAAGCCACGACTGAGTATCCCAAGGGGGGGAAAGATTCATCCAAACCCTCTCAAGAGCTGCTTTTCCGGGAGAACTTCCAGAAAGGTCAAAGTCAGGAAATGACGCCAGGTAACAGAAGGTCTTTCTGTGTGATGTGAGATTTCAACATTTAGCTGATTCTTTAGCTGCATCTCATTACAATCTCTGTCTTTAATAAATCTGCTTCCACCATTTTTCTCTGTCTCACAGAGAATAGAAAGCTGTCCGTGGAATTTGTAGAGTCACCTCCTCTTTGTGGTGGAGCTGAAGGATTGGCTGAACCTCTACTTCAGGTAAGGAGGAGAAAACTCAGAAAAGGTCCATGAATCTTGGATGGATTTCATTTTGTTTTAGAGTTCAATGTATAAAATTTCTGTTTCTAAGCAATACAAATTTGACATCCAGTCATTGAACATTCACGCTCTCTCTTCTGGGGGGATCCTTTGTGAGATGCTTTCTCCTCCTGCTTTGACATCAGATTTCATTGACCAGACAGTTGTCAGCATTGGGGCTGTTCCTTCTATCTCCCAGGGTCATTCTCACACACCATTACAAAAAAATCCTTATTTTGCCTTTTGAAAAGCATCTTTGGGACAACTGTGATCTGGCGACTGAGAATCTCCATAGATATATTTTATTTATTTATTTATTTATTTATTGCATTTATATCCCGCCCTTCTCCTTACGGACTCAGGGCGGCTGACAATTGAATAAAATACTAACATATATACATATACTTAATTAAAATTTGATTAAAACGAAATATTTAAATATGTCCAATTTAAAAGTAATTAAAACCCCCTTTAAAATCCCTCAGGCCAGTCCCGCTA